GTGGGGGTCATTAGTTGCATGGTGCTGTGGGGAGGGTGGTACTTGATGGGGTCATTAGTTGCATGGTGCTGTGGGGAGGGTGGTACTTGATGGGGGTCATTAGTTGCATGGTGCTGTGGGGAGGGTGGTACTTGACATTGGTCATTAGTTGCATGAGGTGAGGCTGTTGTGAGATTGACATATTTATACTAATACAGGTTTATCTAACTTTTTTTGTGTTTTAGCTTTATTCGCTCTTTATTCCTACCAAAGAAGGCCGTTGTCTTGATGATCCAAATCAGCTTTACCTAAGACTACCAGGGCAAGGTATTTTGTTTAATCATCACTGATATATGTATGAAGCACTCACTGAGGGGGTTACTCCCAATTTTATGTCATATTTCTTTGATCAGTCTTTTTGATATTTTCACCGCATTTAGCAACAAATGCATTAACATCAGTAACATCAGAACCAATAGTATCAAAATCGTTGATTGGTACCACGTTCAGCAACAGAAGCAATAACAGTGACCTTAACAGAACTTCTTAACAGAGTTCGGAACTCAACAACGACAACAGCAACGACAGACGAACAAGCAACAGTAACAACCTTCGTACAAACGACAATAACAACAAGAGATAAGCGAACTAGCAGATGAGTAACTAAAGTACTAAAACAATTTTGATAGAGAGCTAATGATTTTTAAATTTTTTTTTAGGGATTGAAAAATTATCTACTGATCTCACCCTTAAACTAACGAGGTACAACATGCTTCTGTTATCATATCATTATCTTCAGCTAACTCTTTAGTTTTGCTTGTAAGCTTACGAGAAGTATATTATCGATCATATATTTGTCGCAATGATCTGAATTGTATGATATTTTTTCTAGATCTCATTATCATCTCCTACTTCTTCTCATCTTCCATCCTTTTCATCCTTTTCATCTTCATCCCTCCTCCTCATCCTCCCTCTTGCTCCTCACCCTTCCTCCTCCCTTCTCCTCAGTCTTCCTTCTTCTCAGTCCTACTCCTCTACGAGGTCGTTTCAATTCTCTGTATTTCTTAGATTTTTTGATGTATTGTTTGCTGATTAGGAAGTAAACGTTGTCCCCTAATACATAATACTATCTTTAAATCATTTAGGTGCCAAACAGCAGCAGAAAAAGTGGTTGTCTTCATGGCTGAAAATGGTAAGTCTATAATATGGCTTCTGACAGATTCAGTTCATTTATTTTTTATTCTAAGTGTTTTACTCTTTCCCCCACAGATTTTACATCTAAAGATTTAGACCGTTTACCATTTGGTGTTGGACTCCCGATAAGAGAAGCTATTCACATGTGCAGCCAGAAACCTCCTTGTGAACTTTCACACACAGCATATACATTGATAGGTATAAAGCATCTAATTCATGTGTCTAGTTCCACCAACCAATCATCTGACGGCACAGGTGAAAAGCGTACTGCGCATGCTGGGAGTTTCGGCGGGAAATTCGTAGACGCGTCGTGTTTACTAATACAACCATTGGATCTTTCGTAGAAAGTTATTGCATATTTTTTTCCTAACACATCATTTTAGGTTTTTTCCCTGGTCAAACATACGAGGGAAATTCGCATAATACGAATGCTGGTAAATCTTCAAGTAGTTTTATTTATAAACACAAGGCGTCTAGAATAAATTTCCTGCCAAACTTCCGAGAATGCACAGTGCGTTTTTCACTCATGTCTCATCTGACCAATACTCCTTTTTAGAGTACTCCTTGTTAAAAGTCTTGTTTATTGGAGTAGCCCAACTTACTGACAGATCAACCAAGTCGTTTAATTAATTAATTAAAGGAGCATCATGCAATTGTCAGCTACCTTGCACATTGTCATCACACTATTAAACTATTTGAGCACAACGTTAATGAATTAGAACTCGATTCTGCTTCACATCACACAACCATCATAGAGTTAGACGCACCATTTCACTTTGTGTTTGCTAACAATATTCTGAGGGATCTAGAACATGTTTGTTTCAGGTAGGGAGGATTTAGCATCACTAGTTGGTGATCAACCAAAAGACATTCATACTCAGCACGGACCTCTTAATGTAAGTAGCTTAGTTAATGATAGTTCTGTGTGCCAAGGGAATTTATGGCAGGGAACAATATATAATAATTGCGATGTTGAACATTGGTCTCAATTGCTATTGCTCATGGCACTTGTCCAATCTCTAAAAATAACATGCATGTTAGAGGAATGCTGTGAGAGGAATGTGTACGTACTCAATTGTAATATACTCGAGTGCCAAGGTTTTTTAGACTCCAATTTATCCTGCTATACACAATGGACAGCAAGTTAACCAAGTTGCCCCACCCACCCTCCCACATCCACCTATACTAACCTGTCCTCTACTGTTTTAATCCATGTTTATTTAGAAAGTTGTTTTGAAGGAAGGCGAAAAAGACGATGGAATGGACTTCAATGAAGAGGTAATAATGTGTCATCACCATTTTACCTGAATTCCTGTGGAGGGTCACAATATTAGACTGATAAAAGTATAAAAATATCACTAATTTCCCTAAATCTAACAAGTTATATTATGCATCAGACTATGACTATTTTTACTTTCTAGTAATTAACACTTACCGCTCTGATCGAGACGCGTTTATTGGCAGCAAACTAGCTACCGTCAATAAAATAATACGTTAGAGTTCAGATAGATGTAAAATGTACTAAAGTGATTTGCTTGGTTGCCGGTATTCTACTGTCGATTAACCACATGTTTCTATCAGTGCATAGCAATGACTCGTTGTTTTCGTAACTGTCTTACATAGGTCATGCGGTTACGGTTTGGTAAAGATTTACGCGTCCAAGAAGTACGGAGACTGTTACAGTCGGCCAGACCAGTCCGAGTAAGCCTGGTGCAGAAACCAGAAGTCAGGTAACAACAGCAATGTTCCCTCTACATAGCAACAGGCAAATAGTTTAGTGTAGTGAACTTAGTTGCCTGTATATTTTCCACATAGTCACGTGATGTCTACTGTATTCTCGAGGATATTTCAAAAATAACTCACCATAACTCATCGCAGAATAACGTAGACTTACGCTAAGAAATCCATACAGTACTGATGGTTTAGTTTCTGTCTTATTTTTTAGTGACCATGAGTTCATTCAAGAACAAGAAGCTAAACTGTTATTAATGTGCAAAAGAACCATGGCGCTACCTGTTGGAAGGTTAGGATTCTACCACACATTCAAATCTTTGTTCTAAACTAGTAATATAGAAACCATACCTTCCCCTCCCCCTCACTTTCATGCATCATCCTCACACAGACCACCCCTCCTCCAACCACACACCACTGATACTATTTCCACGTAACATAAGACAATTTCCCCCTCCCCATCCCTCCCCGCAACTATCCGCGAGACCTGTCAGACCAGACTGTTCCTCTTTGACAATCAAAGACAAAACCTTTGAAAAATTCCACGTCTTGCACATTTTAATCTCGATGTGAATTACAATAAGAATTCTCTTAAGAATTGAACTGATCTGTTTAATAACAGGCTATTAATAAAATGTGGTTTAATGACGCTTTTTACGTGGGATTCATCGTCACAATTCTTTGCTTCAAATGTTGAATATTAAATTTGTTTTTGAAGTAGTTTTTGTTGAATATTGTAAGCAATCAAGATGAGTATAAAAAGGATACCATGTTTAAAGCTATTCTATTCTATTGTGTTGTTATACAGGGGTATGTTTACTCTGGCCACCTCTCGTCCAGTTTTAACTGAGACTCTCCCCATTCCATCTCTGGATCTCTCAGGGCGTCTCCCTCCAAGGTAAAGTAAACAATTTGACCTTGGATCAATCTATTGGCTTATAATCGTGCTTACTACGAGGTAATGTGTCAAGAAAGCAAAACAAACTGGTATAAAAGCTTTGCATGAGAAAAAATGGTTTAAGTGGGCACCATGTGATTGTCCAGCAGTGGTAGGAACTCTTATTTACACAGCAACCAATCAGAAAGCTTTTTATACTTATCGCTTTTTTGGATTAGTAAGTTGTTTCTCCACCAAGCCTTGATTTTGATCTTTTTGTGTGCACTCGCTCGGAATGTCATAAGTGGGTTAGCGTAAGTGGGTTAGCGTTTAACTTCTTTTTTTTTACATTTTTTTTGTAGAATAGAATAGAATAGAATAGAATACCTTTATTTAAACACGATAAAATTTAAAGCTAAAAGCTTGTGGGGTCGTGCAAAATTTTTTCTTTTAAATTTTTTTTTGTAAAGAAATACAACAGTTGGCTTGGATCATGTAGATACTCCAGCAGATATGAAGGTGTGGCCACAGTTCCATAATGGCGTGGCTGCTGGGCTTAGGATTGCTCCAGGAATATCCCAAGTAAGAAAATATCTTCAATGGAGGGATGGAGGAAAATGAGAAAAAAGATAGATATTTTATCACAGTGTTTCTCTTTTTGTTTCTCTTGTCTTCCCTTTCTTTCTTTTCTTTTCCCCTCCTATTTTTTCTTTTCCTTTTCTTCTCTTCTCTTCTTATTTACCATTGATTGGTTGTTTTCAGATCGACAGTGCATGGATAGTGTACAACAAACCCAAGGATAACCAGTTAACAAACGAACACGCTGGTTTTTTGATGGCTCTTGGTCTCAATGGTCACCTAACAAATCTAGCACACATGAATCTACACGACTATCTCAGCAAGGTACTAATACTCTAATGATATCTCTTACCTAGCCACATTTGAGACAGGAAAACAATCAACGGTACTGCTATTATCTGACGTCCTCATCTAAACCAGGCATAAAGCTACATTAAGCCTTTTTAGTTTGGTCATAATGTTCCATTTCTAATCACTTGTAATCGAGCAATCTAGGCGCACAACATAACTAGGTAATAGAAGAGGTATGCTACGCTACCAGGAAGGGAAAATCCAGTAACTTTCCCGCCATAGTGTTGCTCCTTGCGCGCGTTGTTGCTATTCCTCATAAACGTTTGAGTAAGCCGATCAAAACGACGTTGTTGACATGTTGACAGTCTTTCTCAGGCGATGTATTCGTAGTTACGCCTCCCAGGTTATGAACCAGTTGTTCTATATTACATTGACATACAGTTAGTTCACATAGTCTATGAAAAGAGTGTTTCTGGATTATTTTACATTGGATTATTATGTCTTTTTCTTGCAGGGACACGAACTTACAACAGTTGGGACTTTAATCGGTATTGCTGCTTCAAAGTAAGTGAAAAAGATTGATCTCAAGAGTGAATGATTATACAATAAGGTGATGATAGTGATGTTGGTGGTGGTGGTGACTGTGACGCTGACAATGACAGTGATGGTATTGGTAACGTTGGTGGTAGCGAGTACTGTAATGGTGATAGTGACGTTGATGGTGATGGTGATGGTGATGGTGATAGTGACGTTGATGGTGATGGTGATGGTGATAGTGACGTTGATGGTGATGGTGATGATGATGGTGATGGTGATGGTGATAATGATGGTGGTTGCGATGGTGATAGTGACGTTGACGGTGATAGTGGTGATGATAATGACAACGAGGACAAAAATTACCAAAACGACGCAGCAATATGAACAAGACCAAGTTCATTCGGTCAATAAATTTCATCTTGTTATTGGTAAGTTATATCAGCTACAAGAGAACTAGATGAGTGGATAGTGTGGCAGCAAGATCGTTGTGACTGAACGAATCAAAACCTCTCACCTTTTTAAACCATACATTCTGTGAAAATGTTGCTATGCACATGGTTTTCAAGGTGAGCTGGTTTTAGAGATTAAGTATTTGTAGAAACAAAACAATCAAATAGAAAACAAAACGCTGAACAACACAGTAATGAGGTGAACTTGTTAAGCATTTGTTGAATTTCTACGTGATCCTACTAAATGTAGTCACATCGTGTACCCTTGCCTTTAGTATTGTGAGCACACACTCTATATGAATCCAGTGAGTCACAACTGTTGTATGTATGCCCTGTTATGTTAGGCGTGGTACCATGGACCTGTCAACTACTAAAGTGCTCAGTATACATGTAGATGCCCTACTACCCCCTACCTCTGCTGAACTAGATGTACCTCACTCGGCACAAGTAGCTGGTGTTCTGGGAATTGGATTCGTTTACCAGGAAACAGCTCACAGACGAATGGCTGAGGTCCTGCTCTCTGAAATTGGGCGTCCGGCAGGTCCAGAGATGGAGAATGCAGTTAACAGAGAGTCTTACTCGCTATCAGCTGGCCTGGCATTAGGGCTAGTCATGTTACAGGTAATAGAACTCCCTCAATCTATACCGTGATCCTTAGCAAACCCTTGTCCATTTTCTCTATCTGCTGGCCCGGCTGTGAAGTTGCTTTTTTCCTGTCATATAGTTTAAAACTTAGTGTGTTTTGTGTTAGCATGGTAACGAGGCTCTTGGGGTAGCAGACTTAAAGATGGCTGATCAGTTGTACCACTACATGGTGGGGGGACAGAAAAAACCTCAGGTAACTAGTTCTAAAAGAAATAGGACTACATTTTATTAACCTATAAAATTAATTCCATACGAGGATCAAATAACTTATAAAATAGAAAAATTAAACGAAACTTA